TATTACTAAATATAAAAGGAGAAACTTGAGTTTTTTCTTTTGGGCCACCCTATCTCGGTGGGATATGGCTGGTATGTTGAAAGAAAGAAAGAAAGAATTCAGGTAAATCTTGCTACTTCTACTTATGCTTAGGTCACACTACACATGCATGTACAAGCATACAGTGGACCCCCGACATTCGATGGCATCGACATTCGATAAATCCAACATTCGATGCATTTTAACGCAAAAATTTCACCTCAACATTCGATGGAAAACCCGACATTCAATACAATTCGTACGAGACGTGTCCACGTGTGGCCTGAACTGCCCCGTGTGTGCCAGTGTTTACAAGCCGCGCATCTAAGGATACATTCGGTACATTCCATATTATCCATATTATCACTGTTTTTGGTGCTTGTTTCTGCAAAATAAGTAACCATGGGCCCCAAGAAAGCTTCTAGTGCCAACCCTTCGAGAAAAAAGGTGCTAATGACTATTGAAATGAGAGATAATTGCAAAGTACGAAAGTGGAGTGCGTGTGTCGGAGTGCATGATGATTTGGTAAAGAAATTGCCTGCAACTAGTGGTGATGTGAGTGAATTTCAGGCCAGCAAAGGTTGGTTTGAAAGATTTAAGAATCGTAGTGGCATACACAGTGTGGTGAGGCTGCCAGTTCAAGTCCTAATGGAAGGGGATTCCCCTTCTAAACACTAACACCATCCACACTCTCCCTTCCTCCCATCCCATCAATCATCACCAGATCTTCATTTATGGTAAGTGTCAATTATTCTATTGTTATTAATCTACTGTTATTATTGTTATTGTAATTCTATTGCATTAAACTTAATATTTCATGTGGTAAATTTTTTTTTTTTCATACTTTTGGGTGTCTTGCACGGATTAATTTGATTTCCATTATTTCTTATGGGGAAAATTAATTCGACTTTTGATATTTTCGACATTCAATAGCTCTCAGGAACGGATTAGTATCGAATGTCGAGGGTCCACTGTATATGTATATACACACTCATCTGGGTTTTCTTTTATTTTCTTAATAGTTTTCTTTCTTTATTTTCTTTTATCTCCATGGGTAAGTGGAAAAGAATTCTTCCTCCATAAGCCATGCTTATGGAGATGACTAAAATACTGGAAGCAAGGGCCTAGTAACCCCTTTTCAACAAGGTTTTTCTTCAGTATTTATTAAAGTAGTAAAAACAAATTCTCTTCATAAGTACAGTAGAGGTGTAAGAAGAATGCACTGAACTATAATACATTTGTACCTCGGTATACAGTGGACCCCTGGATTACGTTGTCATCGGAATTCGTAATATTTGGAACAAGTAACAATTTTCCTTCAAAATATTGGCTCGGTGATCATCATTAAACTTGGTAATAGTCATCCGTCCCAAATGTGTCCACACGGCCTGAGCGGTCCAACACACCATTTAAAGCCAGTGTGCCATTGTTTACCAGCCAATGAAGACGATCCCACTCATTCATATGATATATTTTGTATTATTCCATTCTTTTTAATGTTGCAACTGCTACATAAGCCACCATGGGCCCAAAGAAAGCTTCTAGTGCTGGCCCTTTGGCAAAGAGGGTGAGAAACACTATAGAATTCAAGAGAGACATCATTGCAAAATATGAAAATGGAGTATGTGTTGCAGAGCTGGCCAGGCTGTATAACAAACCCCATACAATCATCGCTTCTATTGTGGCCAACAGAAAAGAAATCAAGGAAGCTGTTGTTGCGAAAGGTCCAAACATGCTTACAAAACAGAGATCGCAAATACTGGAAGATGTGGAGACTTTGTTGTTGGTGTGGATCAACAAGAAACAATTATCAGGAGATAGTGTTATACAGTCAATAATTTGTGAAAAGGCAAGGCAGTTGCATGATGATCTTGTAAAGAAAATGCCTGGAACTAGTGCTGATATTGGTGAATTTAAGGCCAGCAAAGGCTGGTTTGAGAGATTTAAGAATCGTAGTGGCATACACAGTGTGATAAGGCATGGTGAGGCTGCCAGTTCAGACAAAAAAGTGGCTGAAAAATATGTTCAGGACTTTAAGGGGTACATAGAGGCTGAAAAATTCAAACCCCAACAAGTGTTCAATTGTGATGAAACAGGCCTCTTTTGGAAGAATACACCAAAGAGGACCTACATTACTCAGGAGAAAAAGGCACTCCCAGGACACAACCTATGAAAGACAGACTAACTCTCAAGTTTTGTAGTAATGCTAGTAAGGATTTCAAAGTGAAGCCTTTACGGGTGTATCACTATGAAAATCCCAGAGCGTTCAAGAAAAAACAGTGTCGTCAAGAGTAAATTGTGTGTGATGTGGAAGGCAAACAGTAAGGCATGGATCACAAGGGATATTTTCCTTGATTGGTTTAATGACGTGTTTTGCCCCAGTGTGAAGAAATACCTCCTGGAAAATAAACTAAAACTCGAGTGCCTCCTGGTAATGGACAATGCTCCTGCTCATCTTCCAGACTTGGAAGAGCAAATGGTGCAGGAGTTTTGTTTCATCAAAGTGAAGTTCTTGCCCCCTAATACCACTACTCTCCTCCAGCCCATGAACCAGTAGGTCATTTCAAATTTCAAAAAACTGTACACCAAAGCAGTGTTTCAAAAGTGCTTTCAAGTGACCTCAGACACTGAATTGACCCTAAGAGAGTTCTGGAAAGATCACTTCAATATCTTCCAGTGCATAAACCTTATAGGTAAGGCTTGGGAGGGAGTGACTTCCAGGACTTTGAACTCTGCTTGGAGGAAACTGTGGCCGCAATATGTACAAGAAAGGGATTTTGAAGGGTTTGGGGCTGACCCTGAGGAGCCTATGCTAGTTGTGGAAAGTATTGTGGCATTGGGGAATTCCATGGGGTCGGATGTGAGTTTCGAGGATGTGGAAGAGTTGGTGGAGGACCACAATGAAGAGCTAACCACTACAGAGCTTTATCTGCAACAGCAACACACCACAGCTCAGGAAATTGCTTCAGAGGAGGAGGAAGAGCAATGGAGGAAGGTGCCTTCTTCAAAGATTAAGGAGATTTGTACAATGTGGACAAAGGTGCAAACATTTATGGATGAACATCACCCTGACAAAGCTGTTGCAGGCCATGTTGGCAACATGTACAATGACAATGTTGTGTCCCATTTTAGGGAAGTTTTAAAGAAATACCAGATACAGACCTCTCTGAAACACTTTTTTGAGTGACAAGGGTCCAGTGATTCTCAAGCTGGTCCTAGTGGCATTAAAAAACAAAGAAGGGAAGTAACCCCAGAAAAGGGCTTGATACCTAAGTCTTTATGGAAGGAGATTCCCCTTCCAAACAATAGTACACTTCCATCCTCTCCCCTCCTCCAGTCTCATCACTCATTGATAAGTCTTCAATGAAGGAAAGTGTCATTTTAGTATTGTTTTATTGTGCATGTCTCATTGTTTTCTGTGTAGGGAAATGTATATTTCATGTAAAAAAATTATTTTTTTAATACTTTTGGATGTCGGGAATGGATTAATTGGATTTCCATTATTTCTTACGGGGAAAATTAATTCGGGATTCATCAGATTTGAGTCTAGTCACTCTCTTTGGAATGAATTAATTACTAAAACCGGGGGTCCACTGTACGTCTTTAATCCGCTCCACGACCTCGGATTTATTCCAAACAGGACATATACCAAACAAATTTTCCTATAAGAAATGTCTATAGAGAAACGATTAATCCGTTCCCATGAAAAAGAAATCCTATTGTTATTGGCATATTGCACATTGATGGGGTTGTATAAAATAATTTAAACACTACTTAATACTAAAATATGTAATTTAAACACTGTTTAATACTAAAATACATACATAAACACAAAAGAATTAGATGAAATAAATGAAAATTTAACCTCACATTACTTTGCTGAAAGGAGTCAAGTGCCTACTATGATATTGCTGAGAAGGGAGGAGGAAATGTTATTGTTTAGAAGGACAGTCCCCTTCTCTTTTCTGTTTCTTTTACCTATTTAGACCTGGTTGAAGCTCACCAGGTTTGACTTTTACTAAAAATCACTGAATGGTAGCAACGGGTGTATTGACACTAGTGGACAGTCATGGCTTTGTCTCGAGAGAGAGGTAAACAAGAGTAGCGCATGGTGTCATGACTAATTTTGACCCATACAAGTTCTAGCACGCAAGTCGCATTCCAAACAAAGGTCATATACCAAGCAAAAATTTTCGAGACCAAACAGGACGTATACCAAGCTGGACTTATTCCAAAGCGGACGTATACCAAGGTACCACTGTATATATAAAAAAATATGTAATTACAATGTGAATTGCTCAAATATTTATCTAGTTCTGACAACTGGCATAAACAGTGCATTATGAAATAAAATGTACTGATATACAGTACTCTATTATTTAAAGAATTATGATTAACATTCACGAGGAAGGCCACCCATCACATGTACTTCAGTTTTTCACAGGGCACCCCTATGAAAAACTGAAGTACATGTGATGGGTGGCAGCCCTGTGGTAGGAGGAACACACAGAAAAGAATGATAATGCTATTCTCATATGTGGATTGATAAAGTCTATGATGTATTAGATTGAGAAGAAAATACTATGATGATATGAACACAGTACTATGATGGGAGTAGAAAGAAAAAGATGCAAGTGTAACTGTTCTAAAGTATACTTTGACTTCATTCTAATCATCATTTACAAACAAATAATTTGTGATATACTGTACAAAAGTTTATCATTTTCAAATCACAAAGTATGCACTGTATATTAAGTCTGTATATTAATATATCTGATTCAGTTTTAGATGATGATTAACCAAGTAGAGAATTTGCTACTGTCAAGTTTTCATTTTTAAAATACAGTAATAAACAAATAAAGTACATGTATTATTTTTATTTTAACTGTCCTCTAAGCACAAGTTCTTGATGTATCTACATCAATTTCCCACCTAATATGGGGTACTGTGAACATTATGCAGCAACAGAGCAACACACTTACTTCTGACAGTTGCAGTGTTGCCACAATTCCCATTTGATCATAGTCCCAGCCTATGTATTGCACTCCCATGGTCTGACGCACTAAGGACTTAGCACCATCAGCTCCAATCTGTTAAAAAGCAAAGGGATCCAGAAACAGTTAGACTCAACATGCCTATATTAAAAACACATTAGCAACATAATTATTTTTTTAATACACCAGCTATCTCTCACAGAAGTAGGGTGATCAAAAAAAAAAAAAAATGAGGAAAAACATTCACTATCATTCATTCAATCACTTGCCTTGCCAGAGGAATGCTGACATCACAGTTTATATGGCTCTCTGTCCCCTGCTTTACAGTATAGGCACTGTACTTCCCACCTCCCTTTGTAGACAGTACCTTGCTCGCACTCCAGCAACACATTAGGTCACAAAAACTACTTATGTCCACTCACCCCGATTTAACATGCTCACACAAAACCTGGTGGATGTTCAATCTCCAGGCACTCAAAGCCTCCTTTATAAACCCCCCTCCCTTCCATCCTTCTGGGACTACCCTCCTAGTCATCCTATTTTGCTCCATTCTATCTTGGTTCCCAAACTACCTCAACAACCCTTCATTATTAATTTTACTGTATTATATTCATCAGGCAGTACTTAAACCAAAGGTGTCAAACAGCATTTGTACACTACCTACAATATACTGTAGTTAAATTATACATGTAACCTCTCTTATAGAAAGAGCAATTGCACCACCTCCATTTTCCTTCACTGCTATTACTTTCTCTCTCTCTCTTACACATTTTTCTTCATTTGGTCCCAAATATTCAATTAAGGTTAATGTACTTCTTTCTTTTTTACCACACCGGTCATCTCCTACCAAGGTACAATGGCCCAAGGGAAACACTCCCTATAATTCATTCAATAGCTTTTGTACTAGAGTTGCACAGATTTCACAATTCAAATGACCCTCTGAACTGTAACTTCCTCATCCCTTCAGAATGCAGGCACTATAATTCCCACTTGCAAGACTCATTGGCTAACCAGTTCTTCTGAATCCTTTCACAAATGCTATCTTGCATTTAATGTTATTTATTAATGTGCAATTAAATGTGAATACATGCATAAGTAAAAAAAAAATGGAGTCCATGTAAATTATGAGACAAAAATCTTATGTACTATCTGCTGATGACAATTAAGTTTGTTGTAAAAGAAAATAAAGCAAAAGTTATATTTGTCATTGTATAAACTCAAGGTAAATTGTAATAAATGATTGCCAACAGATAAAAAGAAGAATGGACAAAGGACTCAGACATTAGCCCTGGCATGTAGCAGGCCCAATACTGTAAGCTTCATGGCCCAGTGGTACAACATTGGGCCTGCTATATGCCAGGACCATGGTTCAGGTCCTTGTCCATTCTTCTGATTACTCCTTGTCATTATATTTTATCATTTGGTGTACAGTACCAAAAGGTCCGTTGATAGAGTTCTGCCATCCTGAAGGGAGATCATCACTTTGGAGGAGAGATCAGTGGGGAGTTTGTATCCCTCTACCTTGGCATTATATTCTACCTGTTGGAGGTAAGTGCATATTAATCTTTATATACTATATCCAAATAAGCAGGACAATATATAATCAAATTCAGACCCTAATTAGAAGACAAAAATTAGAGATTGTATATTTTGACATTGTTACAGAGATCCATAGGGATCATGCAGCACCTGGGGAAATGGGAGGCAATCAAGTCTGATCCAAGGATGGGAAACTCAGGTTCAATTTCTAAAATCCCGAGGGCCACCCTCCCCCCGCTGACATCGGTAACCTCCCTTGAGGGTAGGTATCATCAAGAATGAATACAGAGTATAATTATGAAATTCTGACTTGTTACTTAAACTACTGCATCCCATGACTGCACTTCTCATTGTTCTCCAAGCCAAGTGTCATTGCATCTATAATGAATCATTATTACTGCATAATTATAATTATCCTAGGTAGTAGGTTGGTAAACAGCAACCACCCAGGGAGGTACTACCATCCTGCCAAGTGAGTGTAAAATGAAAGCCTGTAATTGTTTTACATGATGGTAAGATTGCTGGTGTCCTTTTTTCTGTCTCATGAACATGCAAGATTTCAGGTACGTCTTGCTACTTCTACTTACACTTAGGTCACACTACACATACATGTACAAGCACATATATGCACACCCCTCTGGGTTTTCTTCTATTTTCTTTCTAGTTCTTATTCTTGTTTATTTCCTCTTATCTCCATGGGGAAGTGGAACAGAATTCTTCCTCCGTAAGCCATGCGTGTTGTAAGAGGCGACTAAAATGCCGGGAGCAAGGGGCTAGTAACCTCTTCTCCTGTATATATTACTAAATGTAAAAGGAGAAACTTTCGTTTTTCCTTTTGGGCCACCCCGCCTCGGTGGGATACGGCTGGTGTGTTGAAAGAAAGAAAGAAAGATTGCTGGTGTCCATTTTTCTGTCTCATAAACATGCAATGTTTCAGGTACGTCTTGCTACTTCTACTTAGACTTAGGTCACACTACACATACATGTACAAGCATATATATACACACCCCTCTGGGTTTTCTTCTATTTTCTTACTAGTTTTTGTTCTTGTTTATTTCTTATCTCCATGGGGAAGTGGAACAGAATTCTTCCTCCGTAAGCTGTGTGTGTTGTAAGAGGCGACTAAAATGCCGGGAGCAAGGGGCTAGTAACCCCTTCTCCTGTATATATTACTAAATTTAAAAGGAGAAACTTTCATTTTTCCTTTTGGGCCACCCCACCTCAGTGGGATACGGTGGTACGTTGAAAGAAAGAAGAATTATAATTATAATTATTTATATTACAGTATTATTTTTTTTTTTTCAACAGAGGCAGGGTGACCCAAAAAAGAAAGAAAATCCCCAAAAAGAAAATACTTTCATCATCATTCAACACTTTCACCACACTCACACATTATCACTGTTTTTGCAGAGGTGCTCAGAATACAACAGTTTAGAAGCATATACGTATAAAGATATACAGGTCTCCCTCAACATTCACGTTTTCAACTTTCACGGGCTTCACACATTCACGAATTCCCAACCTCCAAATTCCCAGCCACTAAATTCCCAGCCGCCAAATCATATTTAAGTTTCCCGCCACCTGCGAGTCCCTACTACCCTCCCTCCGACCCCCGCAACTATCAGCCAGCCCTCCCACCACTCAGTGTGGTGAGTGTTTTGTTTGTTCATTATTTGCTATTAAACTACAGTATAAATAATGTAAACCCATTCATGACTGCATATTGGAATGGCTATTCAGACAGGTATTAGACGGTGACATCATGTGTTTACTCTTGAACACTGCAAAGAATTAAACATTTCTGCTACAGGTAATAATAATAATAGTAATAATAATAATAATAATAATAATAATAATAATAATAATAATAATAATAAATATGATATAATTGAAGAAGGAAATTGTACAAAAATACGAGGGAGTGGTTGACACATCGTCAGTGTGACTTTGTTTATGCTGGAGTGAACATTAGTCTCCCTGCTCTTCCAAACATTTCACAATAATTCATTGTGTCTGGTGCTTGTAGATTGAGTGTGACTGGAGTGGTAGATGCAGTGATTGAGGCAATGGTATTTAATAACATACATGTTAATAATAATACATGTTATTAATAATATGTACTATTATTATTATTAACATATATGTTATTAAATACATACATGTTAATAATAATACATGCTATTAATAATAACATGTACTATTATTATTTATAACATATATGTTATTAAATACCACTGCCTCAACCGCTGAATTATTGTGAAATGTTTGGTAGAGCAGGGAGACTAATGTTCACTCCAGCATAAACAAAGTCACACTGACGATGTGTCAACCACTCCCTCGTATTTTTGTACAATTTCCTTCTTCAATTATATCGTATTTATTATTATTATTATTATTATTATTATTATTATTAGCAATAGCAGAAATGTTCGATTCTTTGCTGTGTTCAAGAGTAAACACATGATGTCACCATCTAATACCTTTCCTAATAGCCATTCCAATATGCAGTCATGAATGGGTTTACATTATTTATTCTGTAGTTTAATAGCAAATAATGAACAAACAAAACACTCACCACACTGAGTGGTGGGAGGGCTGGCTGCCAGTTGCGGGGGTTGGAGGGCTGGCTGCCAGTTGCGGGGGTCGGAGGGAGGGTAGTAGGGACTCGCAGTGGTGGAGGCATTGGTGGAGGCAGTGGTATTTAATAACATACATGTTATTAAATAACATACGTTATTAAAGCATAGCATGTATATATTTAGTACAATTTACGACGTTTTCATGTATTTTATGATTATTCATGGTTCAATAAGTTAAGGAAGCAGTATTGTAATATATTTCCCTACAATATATTGGGGCACCAAACATTCACGGTTTTTCAACATTCACGAGGCTCTTGATCCCCTAACCCTCACGAATGTTGAGGAAGACCTGTACAACATATCCCTCCAAACTGCCAATATCCCAAACCCCTCCTTTAAAGTGCAAGCATTGTACTTCCCATTTCCAGGACTCAGGTCCGACTACATAAAAATAACCGGTTTCCCTGAATCCCTTCACTAAATATTACCCTGCTCACACTCCAACAGAACGTCAGGTCCGAAGTACCATTTGTCTCCATTCACTATCTAACATGCTCACGCACGCTTGCTGGAAGTCCAAGCCCCTCGCCCACAAAACCTCTTTTACTCCCTCTCTCCAACCCTTTCGAGGACGACCCCTACCCCGCCTTCCTTCCCCTATAGATTTATATGCTTTCCATGTCATTCTACTTTGATCCATTCTCTCTAAATGACCAAACCACCTCAACAACCCCTCTTCTGCCCTCTGACTAATACTTTTATTAACTCCACACCTTTCCCTAATTTCCACACTCCGAATTTTCTGCATAATATTTACACCACACATTGCCCTTAGACAGGACATCTCCACTACCTCCAACCGTCTCCTCGCTGCTGCATTTACCACCCAAGCTTCACACCCATATAAGAGTGTTGGTACTACTATACTTTCATACATTCCCTTCTTTGCCTCCATAGATAACATATTTTGACTCCACATATACCTCAACACACCACTCACCTTTTTTCCCTCATCAATTCTATAATTAACCTCATTCTGCATAAGTCCATCCGCTGACACGTCAACTCCCAAGTATCTGAGAACATTCACTTCTTCCATACTCCTCCTCCCCAATTTGATATCCAATTTTTCTTTATCTATATCATTTGATACCCTCATCACCTTACTCTTTTCTATGTTCACTTTCAACTTTCTACCTTTACACACATTCCCAAACTCATCCACTAACCTTTGCAATTTTTCTTTAGAATCTCCCATAAGCACAGTATCATCAGCAAAAAGTAACTGTGTCAATTCCCATTTTGAATTTGATTCCCCATAATTTAATCCCACCCCTCAGCGAGAAATGCTATAATGGCATGAGTCATATGGAAAATTGTACCCACAAAGTATTCAATGGCAAGTATTTTTCCAAAATAACTTAGATTTTTACACTTTTCACTTTCAATATCTTCTAATTGAAATTTACAGAAACATAAAATTGATGCAGTAAAAAAAACTTACTTCAATGTGCTGTGGTACCACTTCTTTAATAGAGTGCAAAATTACATCATTTTCCACAATGTGTGCAACCAGATCTTCCTGGTCCTGTGCATCAAATGTTATCATTGCTTCTGAACATGATTCCCATACCTGCAATATTGAAATATGTCACAAAGAAAAATATACCAGCCACCAAAGTAAGACATAATCCACTGGGTAAACTATACTTGTAATTCCTTTATTTTCAATGTTTATTGTGTTCTAACTGCTGGTGAGGGGCTCTTGATCTAGGGAATTGGATCTGTGCTCTGGTTCCCTGAACTGAGCCTAAATACCTTCCATCTCTTCCCCCACGTGTTCTGTATAATCCTACGGGTTTAGCATTCCCCCCATGATTATAATAATAATGTGCTGTAACTGTAAATTGTATGTACAGTACTATATTAGGTATACAGTTAAGTATATCTATATTAGGTAAACAGTTATTTTTTAACATTATTCTGCTTTAATAGACATTGGGACATTCCCTTTCCCCCATAAGCCCATTATATAAAAGGTTAAACTATACACCGTATTGTAAAGAGACTTGAGAAGCAACAGTAAATACAGTAATGTATTTCAACATCAGAACATAGAGCCAGATGTGTCTGGAGGGGAAGATTATTATTATTATAATCACAGAAAGTGCTAAACCCACAAGGATCATTTAGAGTTATACAGCAGAAGTAAAAGAGATGGTTGGGGGGACAGGTGAGAATGTTACAAGTAGGTCACTGCAGAAAGAGAGGAGGGCAGAGAAGATGAGTCATGGTTAATGTAACAAATCAGACAGTAAATTACTGTATATACAGGGCTAGTGCATTACAGGTAGAACAATGAGAAAAGGGGCAAATAAACTAAGCATGTTGGCGTGTTAAAGAAGGTGCCTGAAATATGATAAATGAACCTGGAGGTGAAAAATTCTTATGACTTTATCCACTCAGAAGTAACTGACAAGTGCTGTCAACTAAACAGAACAGAAATCCTTGGCTCATGTTCCTTTTGCTGGCTATTTGTAATACACTTCTCCAACTTTATACACACATATCTATACAGATTGTAGTGTACATTGTAACCTATTCAGTTTGGGTTATTTTATTCTTCTTTTGGTTTTCCTTGGCTATATTAAAGTTGAAAAACTGTAAAGATATCAGACATATACAGTCAGCCCTCCATATCCATGGATTCAACCAACTGCTAATCAAAAATATCTGAAAAAAAAAAAAATCAGACATTTGAAATATAAAATTTTGGGGGCATCACACTGTAAAAATAACAGAAGTTAATGTTATATACAGTTAAGAATACACTTTGTATAATGGAAATGTTATAAGATTCACCAACATCTACCTGCATCCTCTTAACAGGCTGGGCTCTCCTATGTTGTATGTGCTCCCACACCCCTAACTTGTGGAACAACCTGTGAGTATGGCTGTTGAGTGCACACACACGGTTGCTGAACTCCTCTGGCAGGCTCCATGTTTTATCTGCAGCACCCTCCAACAAAAGAATTCTACGATCACTCAGCATCTTACTGTGACCTGAAAAGTAATTGTTTCAAAAACTACACACAGTACAAAGTAAAAGTGCTTTATTTGTTATTATTTAGCACAGAACAGTACCAAGATAAAAATATAAGTATTATTCTCGACTGTATTTGCCTTATTCTGATCACTCTTCAAATACAGTACTATTGTGCATAAATGTAAAAGCATAAAAAACTTTTAACACAGTTTATTTTGTGTAAATTCATCCAATGAAATCCAACAAGAATAAAAGGAAATACAGTACTTTAAGTGAAATATGACAATGTATGGTACATGCAATATGACAGAACTGACCCTGGCTTTAAACTTCATAAGTATTCAACTTGATTTTCAAAACAGAAAACAGATGAAAAGGATTAGAAGTTCTGGTTAGCTGGAACTTAACCTGCCATATAAGTGGGGTCCTACTGTACAATGTTTTCAACAAGGCATACTGTTATGCTTTATATTAATAGCTACCTACCTGGAGGGTGGGTAAGTAGTAATTAATACAATAAATAAGTTTAAGTGCAAGAGTATTATATAACTCTCTATATCATTGTTATATCATTGATATGACTTCATTTAGAATGTAGATATAGTTCTCATCTTCATATTACAGAATTTACAGAAATGTACTGGAAAACTTATAAGCAATCTAGCTCATGACAAAAAGTTAGGAGCTTAGTACCTGCTCTCTTTTTCCATTGGGAAGTGGAAAAGAATTCCTCCTCCATAAGTCATGCGTGTTGTAAGGGGTGACTGAAATGCTGGGAGCAAGGGACGAGTAACCCCTTCTGTATAAATTACTAAATTTAAAAAGAAAAACTTTTGTTTTTCTCTTTAGGTCATACTGCCTCGGTAAGATACGACCAGTGTTGAGAGGAAAAACTCTACTCTCTTGAGTGGCAGAAAATGAATTTGAGGAATGTTAATAGGCATGAGATAAAATGGATATAAGAATTACATAAGTAAAGCAAATGTCCATGCAGAACTTGTAACTGAAGGCACAAAGATATGGGCATACCTGAAATATTAGTGAAAAATTATGTAGATCTAGCATGGATAATGCAACAGATGAATAAGACACTGTAATATAATAATCAAGGAGGAGCTAAACCCGTAGGATTATGCAGCGCCTGTGGGGAGGATGTGGAAGGTATTCAGGCTTAATTCAAGTAACTGGAGCACAGGTCCAATTCCCTAGATCAAGAGCCCCTCACCAATGTCAAGGAACCTTCCTTGAGGGGACACTATGGATGAATAAGACACTGAAAATAAAGTTAAGTGGGCTGAAGAATAAAAAGACACAGTACCATGACTGTAACAATACACAAATAACCAGCACATAGGAGACTGAAACTTATGACAACACTTCAGTCTGACTAGGACCATTAACTAGCTAATGATGCAAGTTGGACCGAAACGTCAAGTTTCCTTCTAATGTGTCCAGGATTTGTGTATAACAGTGTTGCACACCTTCACTCCCTTGATAAGAACCTAGTGGTAAACAGTTACCTAAGGAACAAGCCATAGCAAAGCCGACCATTCCTCCCCCTGAGACGACTATGTCATAATGTGTAGGGGCTGAGTGGTCGTCCCTCACAGATGCAGCACGACCCGTAGGGGTTGTGTGGTAGTCCCTCACAGATGCAGCACGACCCATCCAGCCTGAGATACAGTGACCACACGACCATCTCGACCTCTCCCTCAGGGCAAGGACTAAAGAACCCCTCACTGCCTTCATCATAATCGTCACCATTACGGTGCACTGTGCACCATCACCTGCAACTTAGTGTTGGGGGATTATAGGGCCACTACAGCTGATGCCGTCTTCAGCCCTACCTTCCTGTTTTCCAGCAGGAATTATAAGTTAAGTTTATTTAGGTACATGTACATACATAAATACAGTTACACAAATTATCATACATAGTAACATGTGTAAATTACCTAGGATAACCACAAAAAAGTCAAAGTGACTTATTTCCATTGGGTCCTTGTAAATTTATTTAGTTAAGTTTATTCATTTTATACATCAATACAGTTGCATAAATTATTATATATAGCAGCATATGTGTAGAGAACCTAGGACATAACCAAAAATTCAAAGTGACTTACTTATATTAGGGTAGGTACAGGTAGACATAAATACAATTATCATACCTAGTAGCATACGTGTAAATTACCTACGATAACCCCCAATGAAAATAAGTCAGTGACTTATTTTCATTGGGGTCCTATATGTACTTGCCTAATTATGGTTGCAGGGGTCGAGTCTCAGCTCGACGTGTGGCTGCTAGTCTTCCATACTCTAAGTTTCATCTGACTCCATAACTTAGAACGCCTCATTCAAAGGACCCCAATGGAAATAAGTCACTCTCTCTGACTTTTTTGCCCCTCAAGGAAGGTTCCTTGATGTTGGTGAGGGGCTCTTGATTTAGGGAATTGGATCTGTGTTCCAGTTCCCCGAATTAAGCCTGAATGCCTTCCACATCCCCCCCCCCAGGCGCTGTATAATCCTCCGGGTTTAGCGCTTCCCTTGATTATTATTATATTATTATCTGACTTTTTTTGGGTTATCTTAGGTTCTCTACACATATGCTGCTATGTATGATAATTCTATGTAACTGTATTTGTGTATACCCGAATAAACTTACTTAATAGCTTCAACTTTTCAAGGCAGTTCGCTGTACCAGGGAAGGGTTCATGAAACTATTAACGTATAAAGGTGTCCTGACCAATGTTATATTCAGTCGTGCAGCCACGTAGAGAGGCTAAGGGGGCTAACCCCCCCCAAGGGAAAACTTATTTTTCCAATTAGTATCTAATTTTAACTGCGAATGGACACTACTTTAAGAAATTTCACACTGAAAGTTTCTAAAAACGATTTCTGACTTTTTTGGGGGGTTATCCTAGGTAATTTATACTATGATAATTGTACTGTGTACCTGTAACTAAATGCACTCACTTATGGTTCTTAGGCCTCTCCCAGATATAAATCGTGGCTTAAGCCACCCACAAATCCCAGACAAAAATCCTGGCTGTGCCACTAGTTATATAGCCCATTATCAGTTTCCTGGCATGGGTCTGATAACTTTTAAAAGCCTCTTCTGACTGGCTTTAAACATTCAGTGGATTATTAACCCGGAATAACCTAATAAAGTTGGTGTGTCATTGGGGACTCTGATTTCCATTGGGGTCCTTTAATACTTCCTGGTTTATAGTATCCTCAGCTCACACTGTGGGATCGCTCCCTGGCACAAGTGAAATGTTGGCCATATTTCTTTTCACCTGCTGCTCCTGATCACCTAGCAGTAAATAGGTACCTGGGTGTTAGTTGACTATTGCTGGCACTGGACAAGCACCTAAAGTTGGTTCCTGACCAGCCAGGCTGTGGCTCGTACATTGGTTTGCGTGCAGCCAGCAGTAACAGCCTGGTTGATCAGGCTCTGATCCACCAGGAGGCCTGGTCACAGACCGGGCCGCGGGGGCGTTGACCCCCGGAACTCTCTCCAGGTTGCATCCTACAGAATTAAACTATCCCAGTGAAAATAAGACTGACAGTCCTTCAAGATACACTTAACTTTATTAGGTTACCCTGGGTTACAAAAACCCTCCAGGTTAAAGCTCCAGAAACTTAATTGACCAACACCCAAGTACCTAATTACTGCAAGGTGAACAGGAGCAGCAGGTGTAAAAAATAACATGCCTGTTTCACCTGTGCTGGGTAGTGATTCTTGGTCCCTCAACCGTGAGCTGAGGATTCTTCTGAGTCATGAGCATGCATTTGCACATAAAATAGTGTGGAAATTTTCCTTTCTAAATCATGTTAAATATACTATTTTAATGTGCATTTTGAACAGCTTCAGTCTTTTAGTGCTGATGTATCTTAAGTACAGAACAGTGCCCAGTAAATTTGGTTTGTGTAGATGATTATTAAAATCATAATGAATCTCTAAACCCTTAAGGGTCATACAGTGTGTACATGATAATGACAGTTTAGTTTAAAAAACTTGGAATCATTGGATTCTAAGCAATGCTGGTGAATGCTTCTTCGAATTGGATTCAAACTTTCATCAGTCATGAGTTTCACTAGAGGAAAGTTTAGCATTCACCTTGAGCTGCTCAAGTTTTAATTTGCCCATTTTATTTTGCAAGTTTTTCATGCAATATTATTAAAATCAAGGGGGAGTGCTAAACCCATAGGGATTATACAATGCCTGTAGGGATGGAGGGAATGGAAGGTATTTAGGCTCACTTTAGTGAACTGGAGCACAGATCCAATTCCCTAGATCATGAGCCCCTCACCAGCATCAAGGAACCTCCCTTTAGGGGTTTTCATGAAGTAACTATTGAACACCTCTTCTCATCAGCTTCGTGCCCTAAATTCTGCTGTATCTTACTAGGTAATTGCAATTTTGTTTCTGTTAATTTCAAGCTGTGTAGGTGCTAACTTTTTATCAGTTTTATTGAATGGTGACATTCAAATTTTCCTAAAAATTCCAAGTAAAATATTTTTTCTTATAGGACAAATTGTTTGTGGATGCATTGATATCTGTACTGCTTGATGGTGGACATAGTTTGTTGTCTGTAGATGTTACAACTTTAATGTTCCTATCATTAGGAGACATGGCTAGAGGTGCTGGCTGACATTATGTAGTATGGGAGTGTATTGGACTAAGGCATCAAGTGTCTGGTTCTCTGCTCTCATGAAGAATCGGGATCTGAGTTCAAATCATGGTCACCCTGCAATATTTACACATATACAGTGTAGCCACTAGATTAGCAAACTGATTCTAGTTGACTTTAAATACATCAAACTAATGTTAATATTATAGTCATAACTAAGTGCTAAACCCATAAGGGTCATACAGCACTGCCATCAAGCTAATAGAAAATGAACATCAACTGGGGAATGGTAATGTATATTTATTTTGCTTGGTTACAAAAATTAACCTCTAAACTGGGGGTTCCTTGATGCTGGTGAAGGGCTCTTAATACAAGAAATTTAACTAGTCCTTCCATTCCTTGGGTTGAGCACAATTACCTCTCATTCCCCAGGTTTAGCACTGTCCCATGCTATATTATTATTATAATCAAAAAGAAGCGCTAAGCCACAAGGACTATACAGTCCCATGCTATAATAATAATAATTAAACATGTAGAATGACTCCAGGTCTTAATTGCATTTTTATCATTCATTGTATTTAAGACCCTGCTTTTTTCAGCAGATTTGAGCTTAGGTCTACCAGATTAATAATCCACCATATGTTATTTAAAGGAGGAGTTTGGGATATTGGCAGTTTGGAGGGATATGTTGTGTATCTTTATATGCATATGCTTCTAAACTGTTGTATTCTGAGCACCTCTGCAAAAACAGTGATTATGTGTGAGTGTGGTGAAAGTGTTGAATGATGATGAAAGCATTTTCTTTTGGGGGATTTTCTTTCTTTTTTGGGTCACCCTGCCTCGGTGGGAGACGGCCGACTTGTTGAAAAAAAAAAAAATGTTATTTTTACCGGTTATTTTTATATAGCCGGACCTGAGTCCTGGAAATAGGAAGTACAATGCCTGCACTTTAAAGGAGGGTTTGGGATATTGGCAGTTTGGAGGGATATATTGTGTATCTTTATATGTATATGCTTCTACTGTTGTATTCTGAGCACCTCTGCAAAAACAGTGATTATGTGTGAGTGAGGTGAAAGTGTTGAATGATGATGAAAGTATTTTCTTTTTGGGTCACCCTGCCTCGGTGGGAGATGGCCGACTTGTTTAAAAAAAAAAAATGTCTGTTACTGCATCATTAAGAATTACAGAGAACATATTGCTTATAGTAAGAGTAAATTCATCATTTTGACTAGGTAAAATTATTATCATAATCATAGCTAAGTGCTAAACCCATAAGGGTCATACAGAGCTATGACTAGGGTAAAAAACAAAATGCCTTATAACAATACAACATATATTTACTATGTGTATTTGTAAAAAAAAAATATTTTTACATAAATAGAACTTTAATGTATTATTTACTAAGTTCAGATGTTGATTTTTCTCTTACTAACTGCAAGGACACATATAGAATAAATATAAAATAAATAAAACTCCAGCATACTGTAATCTTCTTCAAGACTATCAAACTATAAATAGCAATTTGGTCTCATTAATAGTACTAAAATATGCTCATGAAATATTTGTTTATCTTCAGTAAATTTAAATTTTTTCCGCCTATAAATGTGTTCAATCAACAGTCGGTGGTGGTAGTGGTGCTGTTAGGTCAATAATTTCATCCACAATACATAATTCGTCATCATCTTGTGGAGGGGAATTATCTATAAGCAGTGTCTGTTTGAGCTGGTGCAGTGAAGTAACAAGAACATGTAGCTGCTTTCGGCGCAAACTCAGTTTCTCCTCCAGCTGGTCTCTCTTGGACTGCAAGAAATTTATGTTTATGAACAATGAAATCTTCAAAAATTAATACAGTATTATAAATAAGAGCCTTTTACCATAACTAACTTACTAAATTCAATATGACCATTTTTAAATCTGAATAAATCTAAATTTATTCTACTGTATGCTTTTGAGACTATGAAATTAAAACTCACATAGGCTTAACACTTAGTTTTGAGTACAGTATAACAACTAAAAATTTAAAAAAAATTATCATGAAAGTTGTCTAGCAAGAACTGGTGGAATATATTCTATGGTCTTCAGATTAAGAAAATATTTACTAAAATTGTAAAACAATTGTAAATTCTGAAAATACATACATATACATGTATATGGTAAGGGTTGAATGGAAATACTGAAGATAATGCTAGAATATGCTTACAGATATTTAAAGTGCTAGTAACAAGGATGGCAAATGAATTTACAGTATTTTGAGATTTTGCAAGAGCATTACTAGTAATGTAGTTAGATGTTCTTCTATCAAAGGCCTTTGAATAGAATGCCGTATCAGAGAAACACACCAACATTTATTTTCAAGCAGTTTTTCAATGCCGTGCGATGCTCATCCTGTCTGCCCTCAGCAGACAGTTGGAGGATGGAGGAGGCCTGCCTGTGTTTGCATATCAGAACATATTATGTCACAATGCCTCCCTCATCACTAAGTACCTTTCACATTTGTTACTTTAGATTTGCATCATACAAAATTATTTTAGTACATTTATATAATATGTATTCATCATGTTTGTATTATGGTATGTTCTATAAAACAGAAAGCTTTCTATATAGCTATTAAGATATACAGAAGTGACAATAATAATTCATTCTTTCTTTCCCCTCCTCCATCTTAATCTTCCTCTTCCTCTCCTCTTTATTATTATTATTATTATTTATTCCTAAAGGGCATATGACAAAAAGAGCTCAGTTAAAACAGATTAATGCCAAAACTTGTAACATCCTTGCATAAATCTTAAAATAAGGTCAAGGTTGTAACATAGATATCATAATTTAAGCAAACCAACAACACTTTTCAAAACAAGTAAAATATAAACAAGACATGGGTAATAATTCCTTCAAAGAAGCTTGTCTTGATGGAGGCAAAAGGTTCTTGATCCAAAAAATCAGAGCTACCCTTCCCCTTCCATGCTATGTGATTTCTATGGATTTTTCACTTTGCCATGATCATAATAATAACCAGGTAATAAAATTGTGTTGGGAGAATGCGTGTGTCAACAAGTAAGTAAATCTAATACTCTACTACATATATTCAGAAAATTAATCATGATGATTCACCTTCAGAGAATGTAACTGCTGTGTCAAATGTGCTAGCTTATTGGCCGTATCTGAACGAGGGGGATGCTCCTTAATTAGCCTTGCAAGAGCATCATATTCCAGTCTGTTTCGTCGCACCTGCCGAGCTTCCTCCAGCTCTTCCTTTGCCTCTTCAATAGCAATGCAGGCTTCTTTGACATTTTTGCTCGTTTCATCTCTAGAAAAAGTAAATGTAAACAATAATAATAATAATACTGTAGCAACGATAAAGATAATAACAAAACATTCTCAAGGTACGTTATGTATGGCAGAGGATTACCCTCTTCAAGGGAAATAAATATCTTGATGTTGATGAAGGGTTCTTGATCCATGGAATTGAAACTACCCTCCATTTCCTTGGGTTAAACCTAAGTGCCTCCCATTCCCCAGTCACTGTATGATCCCTACAGGTTTAGTGCTTCCACATATAGTCATTATAATAATACAGGGAGGTGAAAGTGTATAAACTAAGGGAGGAGGAAGTTCGGGTGAAATATAAGCAACTATTGGCAGAAAGGTGGGCTGGTGCAGGTACGAGTAGTGGGGGGTTGAAGAGGGTTGGAATAGTTTTAAAAATGTAGTATCAGAATGAGGGGCAGAAGTTTGTGGTTATAGGAGGGTGGGTGCAGGAGGAAAGAGGAGTGATTGGTGGAATGATGAAGTAAAGGGTGTGATAAAAGAGAATAAGGTAGCTCATGAGAGGTATTTACAAAGCAGAAGTGTTTTAAGAAGAGCAGAGTATATGGAGAGTAAAAGAAAGGTGAAGAGAGTGGTGAGAGAGTGCAAAAGGAGAGCGGATGGTAGAGTAGGAGAGGTACTGTCAAGAAATTTTAACGAAAATAAGAAAAATTTTTGGAGTGGTGGAATGATGAAGTAAAGGGTGTGATAAAAGAGAATAAGGTAGCTCATGAGAGGTATTTACAAAGCAGAAGTGTTTTAAGAAGAGCAGAGTATATGGAGAGTAAAAGAAAGGTGAAGAGAGTGGTGAGAGAGTGCAAAAGGAGAGCGGATGGTAGAGTAGGAGAGGTACTGTCAAGAAATTATAACGAAAATAAGAAAAATTTTTGGAGTGAGTTAAACAAGTTAAGAAAGCCTAGGGAACAAATGGATTTGTCAGTTAAAAACAGAGTAGGGGAGTTAGTAGATGGGGAGATGGAGGTTTTTGGGTAGATGGCGAGAATATTTTGAGGAACTTTTAAATGTCGACGAAGAAAGGTAGGCGGTAATTTCATGCACTGGCCAGGGAGGTATACCATCTTTTAAGATGGTATGAGTGTGGGGGAGGTGCATGAGGCATTACGTAGAATGAAAGGGGGTAAAGCAGCGGGAACTGACAGGATCATGACAGAAATGTTAAAAGCAGGGGGAGATGTAGTGTTGGAATGGTTGGTATTTTTGTTTACTAAATGTATGAAAGAGGGGATATTTGGGAGTTGACGTGTCAGCGGATGCATTTATGAAGGATGAGGTTAATCATAGAATTGATGAAGGAAAAAAGGTGAGTGGTGCATTGAGGTATATGTGGAGTCAAAAAATGTTATCTATGGAGGCAAAGAAGGGAATGTATGAAAGTATAGTAGTACCAACACTCTTATATGGGTGTGAAGCTTGGGTTGTAAATGCTGCAGTGAGGAGGCGGTTGGAGGCAGTGGAGATGTCCTGTGTGGTGTAAATATTATGCAGAAAATTCGGAGTGTGGAAATTAGGAGAAGGTGTGAAGTTAATAAAAGTATTACTCAAAGGCAGAAGAGGGTTTGTTGAGGTGGTTTGGTCATTTAGAGAGAATGGATCAAAGTAGAATGACATGGAGAGCGTATAAATCTGTAGGGGAAGGAAGGCAGGGTAGGGGTCGTCCTCGAAAAGGTTGGAGGGAGGAGGTAAAGGAGGTGTTGTGGGCGAGGGGTTTGAACTTCCAGCAAGCGTGCGTGAGCGTGTTAGATAGGAGTGAATGGAGACAAATGGTATTTGGGACCTGACGAGCTGTTGGAGTGTGAGCAGGGTAATAGTGAAGGGATTCAGGGAAACTGGTTATTTTATATAACCGGACTTGAGTCCTGGAAATGGGAAGTACAATGCCTACACTCTAAAGGAGGGGTTTGAGATATTGGCAGTTTGGAGGGATATACATATATTGTGTATTTTTATATGTATACACATACTTCTAAACTGTTGTATTCTGGGCACCTCTGCAAAAACAGTGATTATGTGTGAGTGAGGTGAAAGTGTTGAAAGATGATGAAAGTATTTTCTTTTTGGGGATTTTCTTTCCTTTTGGGTCACCCTGGCTCGGTGGGAGACAGCCGACTTTTTGAAAAAAAAAAAAATACAGATAATAATAATAATAAATACATAATAATAATTTGCTAATCACCAGATGTGCTACCTAACAGTACTCATCTAACTTTCCTATAAATATAAAATAAGTGTCAAGAACAAACAATTCGCATCAATCCACATGTAAATAAATAAATCAGTGGATAACAAATTTAAGATATCCAATACAAATTCAACAGTGTGCCAGATGTGTTTTTTTTTAGCTCATATACTATTAAAATTGTATTAAAGATTAAAAATACAAAATTTTAAGCATACATCAAAATTATTGGATCTACAAAAACTATTTATTACAGTGATAATGTGAATGATGGTTAAAGTGTTTCTTTTTTGTGGTGTTTGCAGGCAACGTGAAACTAATGAGTAGAGTTTAAGTGGACGAGGACCAAAAAAGGCAACAAAGGGATCTGGACACACTACAAGCCTGGTACAAAGGGATCTGAACACGCTACAAGCCTGGTATAAAGGGATCTGGACACGCTACAAGCCTGGTCTGACAAATTTCGTATTGAGTATAAATTGTCACCCTACCTCAGTGGGAGATGGCCATTGTGTTAAAAAAAATAAAAAAAGACTGAAAACTCACACAAATTTATTATTAACATGACACCAATCTTGGATGCTGTCCTAGCTCTCCTAGATGACTATTCCTTCAATGGAGGTGCCTTGAAGTGCTAAAAACATTAAACAAGAGGTCATTTTAATTAATTACCTGAGTAATTCATAATGCTGAATTTCTTCTTGATTCATATCAATAATTGATCTCCATTTCAATGAAGAATGCTCTATGGAAGCCAGCTGTGTCAGAAGACGGTCATATTGATTCTGGCTAAATAAAAAAACAAAATTATCACGTTTTTCATTCTGATGCACATTTATCAATTACACTAAAATACTGATGAGCATGGATGCCCTTACATACTTATGGTAAGTTAGTTTTTCACTGTACTTTTACAGACACAAGTAACTATACAAATGTATTTTTTCTTTGGGTCACCTTGACTTGGATGGGAATGGAAAAAAAGTAAATCCCACATGTACAGGAAATGCAGTGTACAAAATGATAAGGATTAATATACAGTAAGCTTTCAACCTGTAATTAAATACAGTGGACCCCCGCATAACGATTACCTCCGAATGTGACCAATTATGTAAGTGTATTTATGTAAGTGCGTTTGTACATGTATGTTTGGGGGTCTGAAATGGACTAATCTACTTCACAATATTTCTTATGGGAACAAATTCGGTCAGTACTAGCACCTGAACATACTTCTGGAGTGAAAAAATATCGTTAACCGGGGGTCCACTGTAATAGGGGATGGAGGTTGTCTGTGTCCATTAAATGAGAATAATGAAAAAAATAGCAAAAAAAAAAAAAAAAAAAAAAAAAAACTTAGGTACTCTCAGGACTGCATACCTATTATAGTAATATAAACACAATTTATGATATACTGTAGTGCAAATAACACTGAAAATGATGGAGTTAAAAGTACAATTTACTAAGCATATTTCTGCCCATTATTGCAGAGGCCTGTTATATTAAGGATTTACTATACAGTATATGGGACTCAGACTTTCTTTAGGAAATAAGGATGACTGGAGTAGACAGGTTTTTGCAAGAATATACAACAAGTCGATGAAAATAGCAACCACTACACAGCTGGGAAACTGTAAATGTGATTCCAATATATATACAAGAAGGGAAATAGACAGCAATCACTATAGACCCAGCTGTTGATTGCACACAGTGGCACTGTATGACCCTTGTAGATTTAGCGCTTCTTTTTTTATTATAATGTTGACTGCGCACTAGCAAGAGTACTAGAAAATAAGAAAAAAAAAAAAACAGAACACCTAGAATGACTAAAACTGTTAATCTTCATTGCACCCAGTTCTTCATGCAGCCATACTGGTAACTATGTGATAAACATTTTAAGGGTTAAAAAAAACAGTAAACCTAAGGCATAGATCTACTCCTTTAAATATAAATAAATGCAATAATTACAATTAGGCAATTCCACATAAACCATACCTTTCCTGTGGTGAATCATCAGTTGAACACCATTTGATGAAGTGCTTCATGAACATCATCATGACACGAGCATCACCAGTCCCATCTCCATCAATCATCAACCTACGTCGGATAATCTCCTCTGCAAGTTAAGACATTAAGATCAAAGTTGTATTACACAACTATAGTGTATTAATACTGTTACAATATTTGTTATTTTATGCCCAGATCTACAGTTCTTCAGTGTAATCCTCACACTTTGTTACAGTTATTAGCTGTACAGTATTCCGCCTGGTCACAGACCAGGCGGCAGGGGCATTGACCCCTGAAATCCTCTCCAGATAAACTAGTTTAAATAGTGTAATTATGGAAAAAGCAGTTGTAATACTGCATGATGTACAACATTAATTTTTTTAACACAACAGCAAATGTGGAATACTGCCAATGTTTACCCTTGAAGAGTTTCAAGAGTTTCTCTACTCTCTGAGCTTGGCCATGGGCCAGGCTTGTCTGGTGCTTGCCTGGTCAACCAGGCTGTTCCTGCTGGAGGCCTGCTGCCCCACAGTTCCATCACAGCCTGGTTGATCTGGCACCGGTGGCCTGGTGGCTAAAGCTCCCGCTTCACACACGGAGGGCCCGGGTTCAATTCCCGGCGGGTGGAAATTCCGACACGTTTCCTTACACCTATTGTCCTGTTCACCTAGCAGCAAATAGGTACCTGGGTGTTAGTCGACTGGTGGGGGTCGCATCCTGGGGGACAAGATTAAGGACCCCAATGGAAATAAGTTAGACAGTCCTCGATGACGCACTGACTTTCTTGGGTTATCCTGGGTGGCTAACCCTCCGGGGTTAAAAATCCGAACAAAATCTTATCTTATCTTATCACCTGGTGAAGATACTTGTCCAGTTTCCTCTTGGAGGCTTTTACACTTGTTCCAGCATATACCATATAATATTACAAATATTTTTCTTAAAATTACACTAAATAGTTAAACCACTCAACTGTATAGTAATACTGATTAAAAAAATGATTATTACAATTGGCATTAAATATCAAATGTGAGTTTATACTGTGTTTTAAAAATATAAAGTGTTATAGTCACAGATTGATAATTCTGTGAAATAAGACATGCATAGTATCAGGGTATCTGAATGAGGAAACATTCTGTCATGAATGGCTTCTTTGTTCTTTAAACCGGTTTAATTGTGAAACACTTCGGAGAGAAAATTTTCATTAGAATGTCCTAGTGTCTTATTTTCCATTTTTTGGTATTTTATACTATATATCCAAAGTAACTTTAGAGTTCAGTGCTTAAACTGATTATAATAATTATCCAAGGTGCTGATCTTCTGAGGGTAATTCAGCACTGTACAACAAAAGGAAGGCTCATGGCAGAGGAAGATCCAAGGAAATGGAACTGATCTCCACTTGTATGTTAAAAAAAAAAAGTCACGGTGTATGTGCATTTTAAATACCCTTGTTCTCCCCTTCCTTGAATCCAACCTGATTACCTTCCATTCTCCAGGCGGCGTATTACCCTTATGGGTTTGGCGCTTCCCCTAATAAAAAAATGACAATATACCTCAAACTATTAAATAGAAAACATTCCTTACCATCACCCATTGCAGCGGGAAGAACAATTATAGTATATTTTCAATTTCTTCAACCACCAGCGTCCTCCGCTGCTGCTTTTGTTGTTGTTGTTGTTTGGGATCTTGAGGGCCACCAAAACTTGCACTGTATTAAGCCATACTGTTCAATTATTATAATCATGGGGAAGCACTAAACCCGTAGGATTGTACAGCGCCTGTGGGGGTGGGGGGATGGAAGTCATTCAGGTTTAATTCAGGGAACTGGAGCACAGATCTAATTCCATAGATCAAGAGCCCCAATGGAAATAAGTCACTGTCTGACTTTTTTGGGTTATCCTAGGTACTTTACACATATGCTGCTATGTATGATAATCTTTGTAATTGTGTTTCTGTATACCTGAATAAACTTACTTACTTACTTACTTACTAGCTCCTGACCAGCATCAAGGAACCTCCCTCAAGGGACTTACTTTTCAAGACTTTTGAGGGGGCTGGAAAGGAAGCAAAATTTAGTGTCAGTAAGTTTATTCAGGTACAGGTATACATAAATAGTTACATAAATTATCATACGTAGCACTGTATGTGTAGATTACCTAGAATAACCCCCCAAAAAGTGTTCAAATTCAAGTTCAAAAATTTATTTCTTTGCATAGTATACAGTGTGTAGTTTACATGTAATAAAATGTTGTTAAGCACAAAGAAAGCCACTAGCATGCAGGAGCATTTCGGGCAGGCACATGTAATAATTATCATACATTGTGTAAACTACCTAGTATAACCCAATAAGTCAGAGTGACTTATACTGGAACATTATTTCTGAATATCCAAACATAGGTAATTTACATATATGTTGCTGTGTGTAATAATTTGTGAAACTGTATTTATGTGTACCTGTACCTAAATAAACTTACAAATATCCAGCCTTTCGCTCTCCAGGAGATTTAACAAAGGTCCAGGAGAGTGAAACATTGCCACAATAAAAATATCAAATTGGTTACATGTGTCCATTTACCCTACATTTTGTTGGTAATTCTACCATCATTATTCCTTCGTTCTTTTATAGAAAAGCGAAAATAAGTATTCACAATTAAGTAAGGTGGATCCCCAGCTTAAACCCCAGGAAAGCGCTCAGCTTAAGGTCCTTGGTTCGATTCCCGGTACGGGTGAAAACATTAGGCATGTTAAGAACATAAGAATATAAGAACGAAGGAACACTGCAGCAGGCCTACTGGTCCATGCGAGGCAGGTCCAAGTCTCCTACCGGCTTAAGCCAATGCACCCAACCTAGTCAGGTCAGGTCACATTGACTTAAGGGAGGAAAACGGTAACTGACCTGGTAGCACAAGCTATCAGGTCCAACTCACACCCACCCACATCCACTCATGTATTTATCCAACCTATTTTTAAAGCTACACAACGTTCTGGCCTCTATAACTGTACTTGGGAGTTTGTTCCACTCATCCACAACTCTATTACCAAAGCAGTACTTTCCTATATCCTTCCTGAATCTGGATTTTTCCAACTTAAAACCATTGCTGCGAGTCCTGTCTAGGTTAGATATTTTCAGCACACTATTTACATCCCCTTTATTTATTTCTGTCTTCCATTTATACACCTCAATCATATTCCCCCTAATTCTACGTCTTTCTAGAGAGTGCAGATTCAGGGCCCTTAGTCTATCCTCATAGGGAAGGTTTCTGATACATGGGATCAACTTTGTCATCCTCCTTCGGACATTTTCCAGAGCATTTATATCCATTCTGTAATACGGTGACCAAAACTGTGCAGCATAATCTAAATGAGGCCTAACCAAGGATGTATAGAGTGCCTTAAGACACCCGCTGTCACGGTTCGCCTAACAGTAAGTTTATTCAGGTATACCCAAATACAGTTACATAGATTATCATACATACCTGGAGTTTACCTGGAGAGAGTTCCGGGGGTCAACGCCCCCGCGGCCCGGTCTGTGACCAGGCCTCCTGGTGGATCAGAGCCTGATCAACCAGGCTGTTACTGTTGGCTGAACGCAAACCAACGTACTAGCCATAGCCCGGCTGGTCAGGAACCGACTTTAGGTGCTTGTCCAGTGCCAGCTTGAAGACTGTCAGGGGTCTGTTGGTAATCCCCCTTATGTATGCAGGGAGGCAGTTGAACAGTCTCGGGCCCCTGACACTTACTGTATGGTCTCTTAACGTGCTAGTGACACCCCTGCTTTTCATTGGGGGGATGTTGCATCGTCTGCCAAGTCTTTTCCTTTCGTAGTGAGTGATTTTCGTGTGCAAGTTCGGTACTAGTCCCTCTAGGATTTTCCAGGTGTATATAATCATGTATCTCTCCCGCCTGCGTTCCAGGGAATACAGGTTCAGGAACCTCAAGCGCTCCCAGTAATTGAGGTGTTTTATCTCCGTTATGCGCGCCGTGAAGGTTCTCTGTACATTTTCTAGGTCAGCAATTTCACCTGCCTTGAAAGGTGATGTTAGTGTGCAGCAATATTCCAGCCTAGATAGAACAAGTGACCTGAAGAGTGTCATCATGGGCTTGGCCTCCCTAGTTTTGAAGGTTCTCATTATCCATCCTGTCATTTTTCTAGCAGATGCGATTGATACAATGTTATGGTCCTTGAAGGTGAGATCCTCCGACATGATCACTCCCAGGTCTTTGACGTTGGTGTTTCGCTCTATTTTGTGGCCAGAATTTGTTTTGTACTCTGATGACGATTTAATTTCCTCGTGTTTGCCATATCTGAGTAATTTAAATTTCTCATCGTTAAACTTCATATTGTTTTCTGCTGCCCACTGAAAGATTTGGTTGATGTCCGCCTGGAGCCTTGCAGTGTCTGCAATGGAAGACGCTGTCATGCAGATTCGGGTGTCATCTGCAAAGGAAGACACGGTGCTGTGGCTGACATCCTTGTCTATGTCAGATATGAGGAAGAGGAACAAGATGGGAGCAAGTACTGTGCCTTGTGGAACAGAGCTTTTCACCGTAGCTGCCTCGGACTTTACTCCGTTGACTACTACTCTCTGTTTTCTGTTAGGAAATTATAGATCCATCGACCGACTTTTCCCGTTATTCCTTTAGCACGCATTTTGTGCGCTATTACGCCATGGTCACACTTGTCGAAGGCTTTTGCAAAGTCTGTATATATTACATCTGCATTCTTTTTGTCTTCTAGTGCATCTAGGTCCCTAGGACCTTGTCGTAGTGATCCAATAGTTGAGACAGACAGGAACGACCTGTTCTAAACCCATGTTGCCTGGGTTGTGTAATTGATGGGTTTCTAGATGGGTGGTGATCTTGCTTCTTAGGACCCTTTCAAAGATTTTTATGATATGGGATGTTAGTGCTATCGGTCTGTAGTTCTTTGCTATTGCTTTACTGCCCCTTTGTGGAGTGGGGCTATGTCTGTTGTTTTTAGTATCTGTGGGAAGACCCCCGTGTCCATGCTCCCTCTCCATAGGATGGTAAAAGCTCGTGATAGGGGCTTCTTGCAGTTCTTGATAAACACGGAGTTCCATGAGTCTGGCCCTGGGGCAGAGTGCATGGGCATGTCATTTATCGCCTGTTCGAAGTCATTTGGCGTCAGGATAACATCATATAGGCTTGTGTTAACCAAATTCTGCGGCTCTCTCATAAAAAAAATCATTTTGATCTTCGACTCTCAGTCTGGTTAGCGGCTTGCTAAAAACTGAGTCATATTGGGACTTGAGTAGCTCACTCATTTCCTTGCTGTCATTTGTGTAGGACCCATCTTGTTTAAGTAGGGGCCCAATACTGGACGTTGTTCTCGACTTTGATTTGGCATAGGAGAAGAAATACTTTGGGTTTCTTTCGATTTCATTTATGGCGTTTAGTTCTTCCCGCGATTCCTGACTCCTATAAGATTCCTTTAGCTTAAGTTCGATGCTTGCTATTTCTCTGACCAGTGTCTCTCTACTCCTTTCAGATATATTGACCTCTTTTAGCCGCTCTGTTATTCTTTTCCGTCGCCTGTAAAGGGAGCTCCTGTCCCTTTCTATTTTACATCTACTCCTCCTTTTTCTTAGAGGAATAATCCTTGTGCATACATCGAGCGCCATATGCAGCATATGTGTAGAGAACCTGCATCGCATCTGCTAGAAAAATGACAGGATGGATAATGAGAACCTTCAAAACTAGGGAGGCCAAGCCCATGATGACACTCTTCAGGTCACTTGTTCTATCTAGGCTGGAATATTGCTGCACACTAACAGCACCTTTCAAGGCAGGTGAAACTGCCGACCTAGTAAATGTACAGAGAACTTTCACGGCGCGCATAACGGAGATAAAACACCTCAATTACTGGGAGCGCTTGAGGTTCCTATACCTGTATTCCCTGGAACGCAGGAGGGAGAGATACATGATTATATACACCTGGAAAATCCTAGAGGGACTAGTACCGAACTTGCACACGAAAATCACTCACTACGAAAGCAAAAGACTTGGCAGACGATGCACCATCCCCCCAATGAAAAGCAGGGGTGTCACTAGCACGTTAAGAGACCATACAATAAGTGTCAGGGGCCCGAGACTGTTCAACTGCCTCCCAGCACACATAAGGGGGATTACCAACAGACCCCTGGCAGTCTTCAAGCTGGCACTGGACAAGCACCTAAAGTCAGTTCCTGATCAGCCGGGCTGTGGCTCGTACGTTGGTTTGCGTGCAGCCAGCAGCAACAGCCTGGTTGATCAGGCTCTGATCCACCAGGAGGCCTGGTCACAGACCGGGCCGCGGGGGCGTTGACCCCCGGAACTCTCTCCAGGTAAACTCCAGGTAAGTAAGGACCCAATGGAAATAAGTCACTCTGACTTTTTTGGGTTATCCTAGGTTCTCTACACATATGCTGCTATGTATGATAATTCTATGTAACTGTATTTGTGTATACCTGAATAAACTTACTTACTTACTAACCCAGTGACTTATTTCCATTGGGGTCCTTGTACCTTATTATTATAATATAAGGGTTATAATATCTTATTATTATTTTATAATGAAGGTACCATCTTATTATCATACTAAAAAGACTATCTACTACACGAGGGTCATTAAGACTATCTACAATACGAGGGTCATTACTAGGAATAAGGTAAAATTACTCGTGTGTTAGCTAAAAAAAATAAAAAATCATTCCCCTCTCTTTCTGTAGCTACATTCAT